TAGTCTGCTTGGCACTTGCAAGACTATGCTAATTTGCCTCTTCCCCTCTCAGCTGTTAGACTAAACGACCTTGCTGGGATGATAATAGAATTTTGTAAATTGCATTTCAACAAGTTAGTAGTAATGCTTTGCAGAAGTATAAACCTCCGCTCAGCGCGCATGTGCACACACACAGTGCAAAAACCCCAAAGCACTTGCACAAATTAAGATTTTAAACCCCATAAATTCTAGGTGTGAGGTACCAAAATTCCACCTGAAATCAATTTCTAACTTAAGATGCAGCTCAGTTGGGTCAGGCAACAAAGTCATGCCCAGTCACTTTTCGGGGGGGGGGGGAGCATGCCAGTGCTTAAGAGGGTGCTGTGCCCCAGAAGCAAAACCGCTGCAGTGGAGCAATCAGGTAGGAGCTGGGGGCTTGCCTTGGCTCAGGCTGGCAGCGGTTCAGACTCTCCTCTTTTTGCTCTTCAAGATATGGCAACCCTATCTAGTAAACACTATACCTTTAAAGCGTATTTTAATATCTGTTTTTGTTGTTGCGCCACTTTAAACTTTTAAACTTTTTTATTCTGTGTACTGCCCTGAGATCTTTTGATGAAGGGCGGTATATAAATTTAATAAATAATAATAATTTTATTGTGCATATGATAGCTTTAAAGCCCATTTAAAGCCCATGCATTCCCTTCTGGGCACTGCAGTTTGTTAAGCATGGCTGGGCACTGTAACTTTGTGAGGGGTAAACACTTAACGGTGGGGATGTGTTTTGAATACAAAGTCTTTGTGGTTTAAAGTCCTCTTGACCAACTCAGCGTCTGACAGCTGGGGGTGGGGGGCGGCTGCTAAATTACAATCTGCCTACATACATGCCCATATCTATCAGGTTTGGCAAGCTTTGTAACTACGAAACAACCTGAACTGCGGTCAATTTGGGATCACCATCCATTATGCTACACTTACTGTCTAGTGTCAGCAGATGTAAGATTCAGCTTGGGTTCTTTTTTGGAAGGGAGGGAGGCCTACAACATTCTAAAAAGTGTCCCTATATAAATCCTGTTCATGCTTTTGCGAGATAGGCATGGATTTTTAGGATACGTACATGGATATGTACATAGGCTGCTATTTCCTTTCAGCTTTCAGCATTCTGAGAATCAGCACTGGTGGCATGATGAAGCTCTTCTTTTCGGAAGTGGAGTGGTAGCCCTGGTACCAGTAGATAACCTTGCTGCGGAGCACCCTGTTGCAACAGATCAATAAAGATCAAGCTTACTAGCTGCTTTGCTTCTCAATATTCTCTGGTTGGCCTCTGTTATTTTCTCCTACCAATAGGGAACCTATGTAAGGACTCTATATGGGCTCTTGGATACCCCATAAGGGAAAAGGGCATATTTTTATTTACAACACTGCAAAAATATAGTTGGGCTTCTCTCTTGGTATTGTTTTAAAAACTCGAAAATATGCCAGTGCTGCAAACAGCGGGAGAAAAAGGAGCGGGGAGGGCCAGAGCCGTCTTCCCCATAGAGCTTAGTGGCACGTTGCGCCACAGCACCGGCCTCTCAGGGGCGCCCCAGCCAGTGGGGGAGCTGCGCGGCTTTGCCGGCAGCTTCCTGTTTCCTAGAATCCGCTTGCCCCGGGCATGCACAGTGCTTCGGCGTCCTGGGCAACGCAATAGTTGCTCGCTGGCGGTGTTGTGAGGTTGGGGGTGTGGGTGCGCGCGCATGCTTCTCTAAACTGGGCAGCTGAGCGAGCGCAGCGCACAGCAACCCTCCCCTCACGCGCCCTCTTTGGGAGCCAAGGCCTTCTTGGGGAAGGGAACGAAACGAAAGGAGGCACACGTGAGGCTCCTCCTCCTCCTCCTCCTCTCCCCTGTGCTGCGCTTGCTCTCAGTCACACAGCCGGCTTGCTTTTGCCCTCCTGCTCCTCCCCCTTTCCTAGCTGGGCTCTCCTTCGCTCAGTCGCCTGGCCGGCCGTGCCACTTGCCTCCCAAGCCTCCTGCGCATGGCAGGAGTGCGGGAGGGGAGCCCCAAAGAGGCAGGTGGGAGCGCTTTCGATGGGGATGCTGCAGCCTCTCCCAGCAGCTCCCTGTCAAAGTTCCCCACCAGCAAGCGAGGGCCCCGCCTCTCCCTTTTCTGTGCAGCGGCTTCCTGGTGGGCCGAAGGGAAGCAGACCTGTCCTTAGCTGTGCCCAAGTGCACTTTTATCTCTCCCTTTAAGTAGCATTGCGAAATGCAGCGGGCTGCACACGCCCACCCCGCACGCTGCGTGGGTGGTCGTGGGGGAGGACAATCTGCTGCTGTGCCTCCGGACCCACCCACCCACTCACTTCAAGGGGGTCAGGGAGCAGCTGGGGTGGCGTGTGTTTGTGTTAAAAAACCCTCCTGCTGTCCTTCCTTCTTGGCTGCGACGCTATGTCTACCCCGGCTCAGCTTCCCGACCACCACCCTCCTCTTCGCTCCGTCGGTGGGTTAAATGCCCGCTCCTTTCTGCTTTCCTCTGTCCCACTTTCTCTCTCTTTTCATCCAGTAGAGGAAGGGGCAGGTTCCCCCCACCCCCAGCTCTTGCCTCTCCTTCCCTGTAGTCAAATCTGTGGAATTCCCAAGTTCAGGTCAACAACTCTGGGGAACCTTTGGGGTCCCCCCCAAAAAAGGTCGACAACTCTGGGAAACGGGGGGGCGGGGCGGATGGGATCTTTGCATCATGGCACCGGATATGCTTAAGACGGCCCTGTGGAATTGAAGGCGTTTCTAGATGATGGGGATGGTGCTTAAGGTGGCTGCAACATCGCAGGGACCAACAAAGAGGTCACATTTTTCCAAAAATATTGAGGGGAAATGGTAAACTCTCAGCAACTCTTCATTGGAATGAAGTGCTAAGAAAATGCCATTTCAAAATAACACTTGCATTAGTCGATGATGCCATATGAATGTATACGCACAACAAGTGAACAGTCATTTCACAACCCATTTCCCAGAGCAAAGGGCTGAGGAGCCATAACTCTGTAGTAGAACATATAAGCTTTGCATGCAGAGGGTCCCTGGGCAAATCCCTGGAATATTCCACTGAAAGGATTTCAAGTATAAAAGACCTATGCCAGAGTCCTTTGAGAGCCATTGCCAGTTAGATTAGATAGCAATGTTCAAAACCCTGCCTAGCCCTGTAGCATTTAATCGATGGCTGTAGAGATTGGCAAGCACAAAGCAGCATGAGAACTCTTTGCCGTCTTCCTGAAATGAAGATGCATCATCACACTGCAGTCAACTTTCTCCAGCTGTACAAGTATATGGAAGCTTTTGGTTTGCGTGGTAGCAGTGGGGAATTGGGTCTCTGACGTTGTGAGGAGAGTATCACCCCTGTTCCATTTCCTAGCTCTCCATCCCTTTGCTCAGGGGAATTAATCAAACATCTAGGTAAATATTTGGGAGAGCAACTCATCTTACGCAGCGGTCATTTTGCTACTTCAGGATTAATTTGTAAATTTGTTCTTCAGGACTCATTTGTCGAATAATTCTAATGCAGAAAGATTCAAGGTCACGAAGTAGCAGTAGTTTAAACAAAAAGAGATTCTGTGTTTAAAAAGGCAGCAGCAATTCAATGAGAGTAGGCGAGTGTAAACTTTGTTCTCCTTAGCTTTCCTCAGTTAAGGAGGAAGAAAGTTGGCTGGAGTCGCACTGGTGTTAATTAAGATGTAACAGAGACAAGTCACTGAGCTCCTGGTGTGCATTCCATGGGTAATTTGAATATTATGAATATGTTTGAATTTGCAAAAACAGCATTTAAATGGTGAGAAATAGTGTCTCTTGGGTGTATACTGAGAGCTATATCACTCAGCCCCAGAACAGTTGTACAGTTCGCCTTTATTTAAAATTGTCCCCCACCTTTTAAACTGGCATTTTGAGCTTTATGAAAGTTAAACAGAAAAAGTATTTATTTCACAAGCAAAAATGGTGAAAAAGAGATGTGTAGGGAGTTGAAAATCTTTAAAGAATCAGCAAACTACATATGTGTATATATATATCAATTTTTTGAATTCAGTAGAGTTGAATTTCAGAGGCTTTTCAATAAGATGGTAAGTGTACAGCTTAGATTTACTTCAGTTACTTGAATTTATCACAGAGGTGTTACAGGTTAGGTTTCCACAACTTTTGGTACTGAAACAGACAGGGACTTTCCGTCAGACTGGTGCTAACCTGCCTATTGTCCTTCTGATTCCCAACCTTTTTGAAACCTCACCCCTGAAGCTCCTCTATTGATATCTGAGCAGATGGGATGTGGCAGAGAGATGGCAAGGCTGGGGTGGCACATTCATTTCAAAACAAATGAAAACACAAACACAAATGGACACATTTTCAAATCAGGGATAAATGGGCAGGAATTGGAAGTACTATTCAGGATTTCTATTCATGCCTGTGTGGGTGGGTGGGTGGGGGAAGGAAAATTAAACATTGGATTTACCCATCAGTCCCTCTTCGCAGGGAACTATTGGAAGTTTAGCTCTGTGAGGGGAATAGGGGACTCCAAACAACTCTCAACACCCTTAATAAGCTACAGCTACCAGGATTCCTTTGGGACTCCTGACAGTTAAATGCTTTAAATGTATGGTGTGGATGTAGAAAGACACTGATAACAAACATCAGGACCAAAATGGCATAAAAGCCAGTGAATTCATGCAAAAATTTACAAAAGCTTGTCAAATGAAAAAGGTTCTGAATGAGGCTTTCAGCAACAAAAATGAAGTTTCCTGACTTCCTGGACTTCCTTACTTAGAGCTGTAAGGTTTAACAGTGTAATTCTAACCATGTCCACCCACATTAACCCTGTGTGACGTATTTCCAGCAGCGTGAAGCAGTCCAAAATAGGCTGTAACTTTGCTCTAGAATTGCGTACCTCCCATCGGTGCCGCTTTGAGTGGGTCACGCCGGATTTACACAAGCTGCCCCGGCTTCTGTTTGAAATCCCAGGGGTCTTGCTTCTGCTGCCAAGCTGCCTTGGCCTCCCGCCACCTCTGCCATGGCCTCCCACCTCTGCTGTGGCCGCACATCCAGAAGCCACTGCCGTACTTCTGGAAATGCACTGGCTTCCAGAAGTACGGCGGAAGCCTTGCAGCGGTGGCCTGGCAAGCCTCATGCTGTCCTGGCAGGCTTTGCGGCAGTGGTCCTGGAGGCTTGCAGTGACAGTGGCAGCCTGACATACCTTGCAGTGGCCGAGGAGGCGGAGGCAGAGAGAAAGCTGGCAAAGGTGAGGCAGGAGGCAGGGGGGGCGGCGGCTGCATGGTTTTTTTGGGGGGTGTCTCAGATTGGTGGCAGGAAAAGTTGAAGCGCATGGAATTGGTAAGGTACCTGAATTCCTCTGTGTTTCAGAGCAAGTTAGCTGCAGGTCACCCTTAGGGAGCCTTGTCAGGGAGTTTCTCAGGATAGGATAAATTATCAGTGTAGCTGTGGAGCTTTTGGGGTGAAGAGGACAGAGAGAGCTCTGTAGTTTTCCATTGATAGAATTAGATTTGAAGCTCCTGTAGTTTCAGCCGCCTTCTCCAGGTCTCCATGTGTACACGAGAGTCAATAAGCTGTAAAATAATTGCATGACTTAGGTCTTCATATATCATAACATATCCTAATAGCTTCTTGTATTAATAGCTTTGACATTTAACCATCGTATAAACATCTACTCCTACATTATTTCACCAAGGTTGCATTGCTGGAAATGGATTCAGCACCAGCGGTTTGAAACTAGGTTAGTTTGGCTGTCCTGGGACATTTCCCATGAAAGTACTTTTTGATTAGGCCTTAACATAAATACTTAAAGGCTTACATTTCAAATGTTGACTTTCATATAACCTTTATGAATATAAATATGTACTCATAAATTCAATACGGAGGGGAGGGGAAATTGAAAGTGAAAGGTCTGCCATATGTCTTAATGAGAAAAGAAAAATGGAAGGTGAGTAAATGACCTAGTTTTCTTTTTGCTGGAAGCCTTGCGACTTCTGAATGCCGCGGATACAGCCTGAAACCCCATGGCAAATTTAATTGTTTAATGAAGGCACTGCGCCTATTAATCCTAGTGGATAATCCAGTCTCGAATGAAGGGCTCTTTGGTGACATGACTGGTTTTACCTTCAGTGCTCACAATGAGACCTATAGAGATGCGTCTTCAAGAGATACCTGAAAGTTAGCGGCAGTTCCTGGCAAATTATTTAGCTGTGGAGATATTTGCTTGTTTTTAAATGTTTTTGTTTTCTTTTTTGTTAGTTTTGTTGTTTTATTGGTTGCCACTTTGGACTCCTTTGAGAGGAAGAGCAGCACAGAAATTTAATAAATAAATAAATAAGATTATTTTTTCTAATTTTGCCTTTTATAATGTATAGTATTGTCACGATGCATCAATTTCAAGACTCTTGGCCTTTCAAGACATTTTCTGTCACCCACAGAAAGAAATGCAATACCTATTTAAAATCCCATTTTTCTGTTACGTATCAGTCAGAGTGACATCCAGTCAGTAAGTGGGAATTAATTTATGTTTAATGATCCAGAAGTAGCTGCTAATTTTGACTCTCCAGATTTATTTTTAGTAAAGGCACTGTTGTCCTGTTCACATAAGTGAATGTTAATTTGAAGTTCCATTTTGTCATTTGCTAGACATTTTTGTCAAGGGTTGGGTTTGTTGTTTTTTGTATCGGACCTACAAAGACTCCAGCTGTCATTTGTTATCCTGTTAAGAGGCATTTGTTTACAGTGCCTACGTATCTATTATATTACTGTCCTCAAATGGTGAATCTTATGTTTCCAGATGCCTCTGTAGAGATAGATGCTTTCAAAATGCGTCATTGACCGTAGGTGGTGATTCTGAGGTTTTAGTAGCCCCTTTAGCAAATTTCTGTAATTCCCAGCAGTGCTGCAGTTAGGCAAATTTAGCCTCTGTACTTCATGGTCTTCCCCCTTCTCCCTTTAGATGGAAATATATCTTACTTCAAAGTGTGGACAAGAGGTCCTCCCCTTCATTCTGCTGAGTGGGTCCCATAACTTCTCCCCAAAATATAATTATTATTTTTTTAAAAAATGTCCAGTAGCACCTTAAAAGGTAAAGGTACCCCTGACCATTAGGTCCAGTCGTGGACGACTCTGGGGTTTCGGCGCTCATCTCGCTATTGGATTCCTAGAATCATAGAATCATAGAGTTGGAAGAGACCACAAGGGCCATCGAGTCCAACCCCCTGCCAAGCAGGAAACACCATCAGAGCACTCCTGACATATGGTTGTCAAGCCTCTGCTTAAAGACCTTCAAAGAAGGAGACTCCACCACACTCCTTGGCAGCAAATTCCACTGTCGAACAGCTCTTACTGTCAGGAAGTTCTTCCTAATGTTTAGGTGGAATCTTCTTTCTTGTAGTTTGGATCCATTGCTCCGTGTCCGCTTCTCTGGAGCAGCAGAAAACAACCTTTCTCCCTCCTCTATGTGACATCCTTTTATATATTTGAACATGGCTGTCTCATTACACATGCTAATCATCTGCACACTATCCCTTCTTTTTTCCTGTAGGACTAATTGCGGTCACCAACAGGTTTACCATACCCACTGAGTCAATCACCCACCCTACCCTCCCACTATATATAAGGGTCTGGTGACTTCTGTTTCAGTATATCTGAAGAAGTTTGCATGCACACAAAAGCTTATACACAGAACAAATTTAGTTGGTCTCTAAGGTGCTACTGGACATTTTTAAAATTTTTTTATATATTTCGACTGCGTCACACCAACACGGCTACGTACCTGAATCTATTCTCCCCAAAAGTCCTTCTTGACAACAGGTCTGGTGCCAGTGGTCAACCAGGTTGGGCTGAGGACTTCAGCAGCTCAGAGGGGCCTGGCCCAGACATACCACCCTCTTCTCTGGTCTACAATGCCACCATGGTTCTGTGAAGAGAGGAACAAGTGTGTTGTTGCTGCTATTACGGCAGCAGCAGAAGCAGAGGAAGGTGCAGCTGCATTGGTGTGTGTGTGTGGAGTGGATGTTTTGTGAAGATGTGTGCTGGATGTGTGAAAACCTTTTGTTCCCAGTTTTCCACTTTGCATCTTCATGTACTAGGATAGCCATGGGAAGTTGCTGAATTGCTTGGATATTTATATACTCTATTGTAGAAAGGCTCTCTGCCTGAGAGAACCACTGCCTGACATAGAGTAGACAATTCTGGGCTAAGTGGACAAATAGTCTGGTGTCAAAGCAGATGTTTCTGTGCATTAATAGGCCAAGTGTTCAAATTTCAGAATAACTACAATAACTAAGGAAATATAATTCAGAATATTTGATCAAGGACTCAAAAACTAGAAATTGCTGAAAGGAAGTCTGTGTACTCCGCATGGAAAAAATATGGGGGATCATTGACAGGTGGCTGGTATTTGTCCTGTTTCATGTCATCCTCAAGAACCATTTTAAATGCAGAGCGTCTGCAATTCATTAACATACAATAGACTTGCAGTTCCTCGCCTACTAGAGGCTCACAAAGCACATTCTGAAAAGCTTAAGAGTAAATATAAAACAATTCTAAAGGTTAGGAAAGGCAAGAACACTGTGGCAAGAAATACGTTACCTGTGATTAAAAGGTGTAAACATTACTCAGATGTGTACATTGCCTACAGTGTACATTGGGTAGTGTCTCTGCAATTTCTCTGGATGAGATGAAGTGTGTGCATATAGCAACTGGATAAAACATTTTGAGATCTTATTCACAATGAATTCAATGAACAAAAATGAATTTTAAGTAAATGGATCCAACCCTGGACAAGTTTTATATTTTACAGCTTTGCTCGTACTGGATATACAGTGCTTGAGTGGTTCCAGAGCTATTACAAAATGTGAGTTTTGGTCACCTTTTCATTCTGTAAGAGAATATGTTGATATTGTAAATTGCCCTGTGATCCTCGGATGAAGGGTGGTATGGATATTTAATAAATATAAAAATAGTCCACATGTAAAACCTGGAGATAAATTCTCTAGCTTTATCAGAACTGATTGGCTGCCTCTAAAAATTTCAGCGGAGGAGGAATCTTAAACCTGCTTTGTGTTTGTTGTAAGTCAAATGTGGTGACACACCAGGGATGTGCAAAGCTCTCCTCACTCCTGAAAAAAAAATGCTAGTTTTGTTGAAAAGTCTTTAGATTACTCCCATATTCTTCAGGCATTTTAATAATAAATTACAATTAAAAAATGCATTCCTTTCCACCACTCAGTATAATAAAGCTGAAATGGGGTGGACCAACAACATTCTTCAACTTTTTGGTGTGATGGTGCCTGAAGCTTAGTCATTCAAACTTCAAATATATATATGAACAATGTTATAGTCATATAACAAATACCAGAATAAGAAACTTTGTTTATTCTGGTATGAATTTACTGTACACTATCTTTCTTGAGGTCTTTGTCATCATTGCCTTCTCATAAAGTTGTAACTCTTTCCTCAATTCATACTGTCCAGATGTTTCATCGCCAGCCCATACGTGTTTCAATTATCTACGTAAAATTGACTGCAGGTGAAAATGGATATTGTAATTATAATTATGCCTGCATAAATTATTGTAACTTTGCTTTTAAATACGTTTTTGATGTGCTGACCCCTCTGGAGAAACAGGGACTGTAAAAATAAAATACAGTCTTTCCACAGCACCGTAGTGGAAGTGGAAACAGAAAGGGAAAGCAAAAGGAGGAAGACAAATGGAACGTGATACTTCTTTGACCATTACGTATTTAGCTCCTGTAGTTAAGTGCCTCAGTTGAACCTGAACTCTGAGAAATGTTAGCAATTCACTTGCAAGTGAGAGAACAGGGCAAAAAATGTTCCTGCCTTTTTGTCGCTTTGCAATCAAGTTACTGAGACACTCTTGCCCCCAGTGCAGCTCCTGCAACTGCACTGCCAGGAGGGAGAGAGAAATAAAAGAGGTTAAGTGAAAAGGCTAACTTGGTGCCTGGGGTGGAAGAAGCCCCTGGAAATGATCCAAGCCACTTTCAGGGCAGTCCACTTGTCTTAAGTCACTGCCGCGAACTGCTGGAGAAGAATTTTGATGAGGTGCTACAATAACATTGTAACTCAGCCTGTCTGCAAATCATGTTCATAAACTGCCTAGATAGGGTCACAAGCTCTGTCACTTACTTTTTTATGATGTCTCGCTTCGGGGAAAGGAAAGGCAGCTTCTCAGCTCATTACAGAGATGGTAGCCACTGGGGCTGGGCAGTTTTGCTTGCTGTA